ATTAAAATATTACTTAGAAATATATAACGAACACAAATCTCACGTTCGGCTTCGACACAGAACATGATGAAATATTTAATTATTTATTAGTATTATTATATTTGACTTAATACATATTATTTAAAGATTCATTATACTTCATTGGTAAAATGACAACTATAAGTAAACTGATATTTGGTAGAAGATTGCTTAATCCAACGGTGAGCGCTATTTGTAACCTTAAGAATGCTTATAATATTATTATTAATATTATTTACAAATAATTAATAATAACCATTCTGTGTAATGTGTGTAAGTTTATTTGATTGTCTTTGTTACTTCTACACTAGCAAATTATAGAAGTTATTTGTAAGATACAAACACAAACAAATAATTAATTGTTTTGCCTTTTATATTACCTTTTTGTATTGGCCGTTATTATTTGAGTGTTTGTTCTCCGATAAACAAAAGTTAACTGTAAGAGATTACACTTGAATTATTCAATTGTCATAGTAAATTTTTATGTTTCTGGTGCAATAAAGAGTTAAATAAATAAAAATACGAGTAGGTACGTATTAAGAAGGAAGTTCTTATAAATTCTATATATATTAAAGCTTTTGCGTGGCCTTAGCCACGGGCAGTAACATAAAAAATTAATGTTATCAATAAGATTTTCTTCTTAGATGGTTCTAAGGACAGACACGTAAGTGTTATCAGCTAAATATTAATGTGAAAGATACTTAGAGATAAGTTTCTCATATCACCTAACTTTATAATATCTTAAAAATCATCTACAGATAATTTATGTTAAGTTATAACCACGTACTTGTATAACTAGATAATTACTTGGCTCCGATGCTATCTCTCTCACTATGTATATTATAATGTTATGCTAGAAGACGGCTTTACTGCTTTCTTCATGGGATTTTCGTTAGTAGATTACGTACCTACAGTTATAAGTATAATAATGGACTAGAATGTTTCTTGTTGGATTAATAAATGATGGTATAAAATTTTGTATCTGATTAAATAAAAAGTCATCTGTAGGATAAAGGCTATTATTCAAAACTGTTAGATAATCCTAGACTAATATATCGTCATCAAATGATGTGACAAAAATATGACAGGTAGGTACAGATAATAATCCTATATCAATCATATACATAAGTTGATGTTATCTTGGTCAGTTACCATATCAATCAAAAAAGATATGACATAAAAAAGAGATCATGAAGAATAGATCTTTTATTTTTTAATTTTTTTTTATATCTACCACTAAGGTGGCAAATATGCATACGGCTTACCTGATAGTAAGTGGTTACCGTAGCCTATGAACGTCTGCAATACTAGGGACAAGTTGCCGAGCCTGAAGAAAATTCTTTAACCCTTTTTTGAAGAATCCTATGGTGTAGTGTCTTAGAAAAATCACGATAGGGAGTTCATTTCTTAATCTGAACGTTCCTGTGTAAGCATAATCACAAAAGATCTTTGTTGATTACAAGTTTCAGAAGACATCTTAAAAAATATATATTTGTACTGAAATTACTAAATAATTTCCACATAACAAAAAAACAAAATTTATTTTTTAGATTTTCTCTATCTCTTTTTGTTAGATATAACGAAAACATCTTAAACGAACAAATTTTTAAGTAATTTCGTAATTGTGTATGTATTTTATTAGATTATTACGTAGAACATATTTAATTAGATAAATAGATATTACTAAAAATAAAAACACTTAATCGGAATTAACAAAGTCTAAAGAACTCTTATTAGCATCAATTAATAACGTTATATTTTTACGTATTAACTAATTTTAACTGGCATCAAGGCAACAAGTTGCACAAAACACATACAGCTCAGCTTGTATACTTACTTTTATTTTGTATAAATTGTACATTGACCGACACTTGCCTTGCCTCGATTAGGATTCATGCTCATTGAATGAGTCAGACAATATCTCACTCATTGAGAGATGTGGTCATGGTATTATCGCATGGCGTGCGGGCGTCGAGCTATTTGATGCAAATGCAATTGCACATTGTCGTTGTCCATTAAACTAATGTCAAACGTCCGGCGGGCGCGAGTCGTGTTGCCTTCGCGTGCCATCGCCGGAGTCAGTTACCAACTGATACGAACGCATGGAGCTGTTTACTTTTTCGAATTGGTATTACTCTTGTTTACTGTACTGGGTTTTGTTATGTTATTAAAAATGGAACATAAGAAGGCAGCCCACCTGATGGAAAGTGACAACCGTATCCTATGGCGCCTATAGACGTAAACAGCACAAAGACAGCAGAGATTAGACTTTAATGTTCATAGTTCTAAGTGAATCGATATATGTACATATATTTATTGTAACTGTACCCCTCGGCTGCATCCGTGTGAATCAATATATAAGGACCCTATGTGCCCAGTAGGGATATATCCAAATTTCATTCAAATTCGTTCAGTAGATTTTGTGTGAAAAAGTAACAAACATCCTCCTTACAAACTTTCGAATGTATAAATTAATAAATTTACATGCTCAATTCGAAATATTTAGTATTTTAAGCATTTAAGCGTCATGTACTCATATATTACAGAGTAAATAAAAGAGAGGGAAAGAGAATTTTAAGGTAGTGTTATACAAGTGAAACAGAACATTTTTCCCAAAGAAATTTTAATTTAAAAATTACAAAAAAAAACTTATACGGCTATCAAATTAGTAAAGCTTTAAATTTTTATCATTTGTCATCGCAAAATTCTTTGAAAAAAATATCCAGATATATATAAAAATATACATTGCCTTAAAATTCTCTTGATAATCCTTCCCTCTTATGCATTCTGTACCTAAATATGTATGTATACATGATGCTGTCTTATGCATTTGATTCAGTATATAGGATAATTTTATTTAAAGATAAAACAACACAAAGAAAGGTTGCTGCACGTTCTTCCTATCTCTATAATGCATATTATCTAATCTTCAATTCATGGAACCGTTTGTCACATAATCAAATAAAAAATTTTCAGAAAATGTACATATTTATTTATTGTAAAACAAATAAACCAAAAACGTAGGTGTAATAATATAAATAATGTTATATATCTTATTAAATAATGTAAGTTGAAACAGGTATATCATAAAAATAAAATAATAGAGCAGTTCAAATGCTTTTGCGAATTTAAAATTGGAAATACACAGATTTGACAGAAAATATTTTGTCTATAGAACAAAATACATTATAAGTACCCCTTATGCATTGCGATTCCTAAGGACTAAACAACAAAATTTTTATGCCGCTATGTAAGTTAGTAAGCCCGACGGAGGAAAAAGTTGAATTATTAAACTAACCCTAATCCTACGACACATTTCAAAAATATTAATGTAATATCATAATTGCTTGGTGGCAGAAAGATCAATGGACAAACTTTGACGAACATTGTACACTTACCCTCTTATTAAAAAAAATTACAAACAGTTCATAGACCTATTTTAGCTATTGAAGCATTTTATCCTTTTTTTTTTTATACTAAATTCTTAATTTGAAAGATAGTGACAAAATACTGTAATAATTAAAATAGATTTGTAGGACGTTTAAGTTTTTATGAATAAGAGGATTTAAATTTTACGAAGTTTATATATAGGTAACAATTAATATTTACACTCACACGCAATCAATCACAAAGTATAATTTTTTTTACTGATTGTAATATTTTATTGTGACTTACCAGTATAACCTAAATCTATTTTTGCTCCGGTCAATATATATTAATAACACAGATACACAAGCGTACACGCATAGGTATATTAAAGAAGATTTTCGAAGATTAAATAATTTTAATCTTATAACACAAGTCCTAGAAAGTGATAATATTCAAGCCACTATAATTTTAAATTTTGACATTGTTGACACATATTTTAAATAATAATAAAATAAATATTAGTTTATCACTAAACTGCAAATAAATTCAAATTAATATTACGAAATTGACAAATAACTTAATTTTACGAGGATACACTTCACTATGTAAACAAACAATAATAAAATTTAAATTTCTTAATATTAAATCAACGAGTTTATAATAGAAATTACACAAATTATAATTTTTTCGTCGTAGAATTACTACGGGGAATCCCCTTAACATACATGTACCGACTATAAAAAAACACAAAGGTACAAATGACTATAAAGGCAATAATCTTATCACAATGTACTTATCAAAAAGTTATCAAAAATAATATGTAAGTAGATGTAACAATTTTGCCTGCGTGTTAGTAGAAAAGTATTCTACTATGTAACAATAGCCATTTAGTGATGGAGTAAGTTTCACCTTTAATTTTACTATTTTTGATAAATATGGTTTTTTTATGCGATGTACATAGAATGGTAACTCAGTGATACTTCGCTGTCATCGTAAATTGACTATGATAATGGCGAGGGTTGATAGATGAGAATCAAAAATTAACCACAATTGTTTCCAGGGGGTACCGCGCTCGAGTAGAAATAAGTTACCAGAGGGAGACTTTGTATTAAAGTCATTTGCTTGGGCACCTCTGTTCCATTTGTATTTCAACCGTAAAGCAGCTGTGTTTGCATGGCTGTGTTTCAGTTTGAAGGGTGCTACACGGCAGTGAATTTACAGAGTACAGAGGAATAATACCTTGGTCCTAAGGAACGGCAACGCATGGGGGGGGGGTATTATGGACGAAACTGTATACTCTGTTATGTTCGTGGCACAGCTCATGTCTATGTAAGTCGTTAGCTTGTTTGCAATTCAAAGTTGCATAAAAGAAAAAAAAGTTTGCAAACTCCTAACCAAACCAACAATAACCAACAATTGAGAATGGAATAGTCTCTTTTCGGTCACTTTCATGGACCTTATTGTTGGTGTATTAACTTCATTTTATTATTCCACGTAATTATTCACATAAAAATGAACCGTTAATATTAATTAAAGAGCTTTTTGTAAGAGACAGAAATTAAAATTATAGTTTGTAGTTTATCTATATGTATGTATATTTGTACGTAAATTACATGAAGATTTCCTGAATTTGTGTTTACGTTCTGTAGACTCACTGACGTGGCTGTTTGTACCTAGTTCTATATAGGCCAACTCCCTTTAACCGTTCTGTATATGATTTGACATTAATTTATTTTCCTGTAAAAGGGTTATTCCTCTGACCAAACAAAGCCAGGCCTGAGTCAGCGGCTGCATAAATATTTTTATTTTGGCTGCGTTCTCCTCTTTGTTTTGCAAATGACTCGCCGAGCTGGGTGTACTCGATGTTTACACTGAAAAAGTATCTTGAGTAAATCCATATGCACATCTCTTTTGACACGCTGCATATCATAGTCTACGACTCATATGCCTCAACAAAGCCGTTGTGAATGATATTCATAACTGAAATGTCATGTCGCCAATGTGTTTACAAGACGAGTTACACTTCAAACGTCAGCGGTCTGTGATGTGGAGCTATGATTTTAAATTGTTAGAGAGCATTACTTTAAATTATTAACACTTATTGCTTGGAAAATATAATACATCTGGATATACTTTACGTATACTATATTACCTTAAGGTATGTATACGGCTTTTGGTTCGACAGTTAAGCTGATTTGGGTCTCGCTGTTTTTGATTTTTTTAGTTCACTTGTTGCCATTATTTAGATGACTGAATACAATAACATTTCAACCTATTATTTTTCTAATACTTCAACTAATTGCACATACTAGAAAAATATCACAAATATTTAATACACAATATAGTAATAATTATTCACATTATATGCTCCCACACCGGTGCTTTGAACGTGAATTGATATTGAAACTGTTATCTATAAAAAAGTAGTTTTTTTTAGCGGATGAAAACGTGCTGAAATATATTACTAAGAATAGGACTGCTTGTTTTTTCCTGTATCTTATGTATTAATCTAATTTATGCAGCTTATGTCTCGAAACTCATTACAATTATTTATTTGAACGGGATTTTGATGTAACAAATATTTACATTTATGACTAGAATAGGATAGAAAATTTTCCTTATTTTTGACGTTTTACACACGCACCATGCCCGACCCCCGCGCGGGTAATCATTGACACAAATTTATGAAAACCGTTTTAGTACAAGGGCTATGCACCGCGTGTGTGAAACGACTATGTATTACTTTTAATGGGTACTTTTACTTTAAATAGTGACCTTACCTGCGCTTTTAGTATACGCTGGTGGGACATAAGTGAGGGATCATAAGTGAGGATGAAATTGGTCAGTTGGCCTATTGTGATGAATCCCACAAGAATTTACCACGATGGTTTTTAGATGGAATCGTTTGAAGGTCAGTCTGATAGATCAATCTGTTATTGCTAATAATAGAGCATTTAAGCCCCGATACTAACAATTCTTTCCTTTCATGATTATCTATTAAAAAATAGTACGCAGTATGAAGTACTTACAAGGCTTACAAGCGTATCGAACCCTTGACTCTTTGGAGAGATTTGGTTTGGCATGTTCTACCGCTTGTACAACGGATTGTGCTCAGAGGAATTGTTCAATATTATGCCCACGACCACTTTCTACGGCGTGGGGGTTTTCAAAAGAAGGGTAAAGAGGTTTCTTCAGGGTCGGCGACCCACGTGTAATAACCCTTGTATTGCAGACGTTCGTAGGCTACAGTAACCGCTTACCATCAGGTGGGCCGTATGCTTGTTTGCCACCTCAGTGGTTTAAAAAAACTTTAATTGTTTTTTCTTCGTTTTAGCATAAATAGAAGGTAGATAAAGATAAGGTCAGGGTATTAAACTAGTCTCTATCTAAAGTAGATTACATAATTTGGAAACACTAAATATAACATTAGAATATATTCTAGTGTTATATTTAATGTTCTAATTACATACATTTGATTGATCAGAGAAGTACCTATTTTTTTTTTATTCGAAGTCTATAGCCAGCTACTTCCAAATAGTGAGGGGAAAGTATGGTCCTTCATTGGCACCTCTGCAGTGTAAATAGCGTCTTTCCATTTTGATCCACCTAGACTACTTTTGATATAAAATCACTCAAAAAAGAACTTGCAATATGCTAATTAAAAAAAATCTCAGTTGGTTTATATTTTAATTCCTTTAAATTTATTAATCAACTCTTGTTTCAACCATCATTTGGTGTCCTACTAGTTCATTATTGGTCCCATGCGTGTATGTATGGATATTATTGTTGGGGAAGCCATATGTATTATTGGATCAAAACCCGTTTATAGAGATGACGCACAAGTGTTTACCACCACGGAGAATTTAAAAATAAAATATAGCGTACCAACATAATAAAGCATCAACGGTTATTGCCACTTCAATTGTTATCTATGACTGATAAGGTGATTGCCAATTGACTTAATTACTTTTATGACTTAATTTTTAAGTTTTCTTTATACTTATTAATATTGCAATCCTTACGCCTTTTTTTCTTCCTTATCATAATCAATATCGTACACTAGTTGCTGCCCGTGATTCCATTCAGAAGGTATTTAAATTTAACTGAAAAAAATATTTACATGGACTAAAAAAACATAAAATTAATAATATTTATAAATTACTACCTTTTTGTTCTTTTCTTCGTACGCGTGGATTTCAGAAGAAAAAAAAAAAATTAAATAAATGGACCACTATAAAAATCGCATCCAATTTGGTGGAGTGGTTATAACGTGATACCGGAACAAAGGTACGGACAGATAGATAAAATTTCTAAAAATTATTGTTTTGATTTCTATTGCTCTTTTTAAGAAGATTATTTTAATTTCGCCAATGTACTTACAAACATCATCTAGTAATTTATTAAATTAACTAATGCAATAATAAAGTAAATCCCTAGCTAAAATCTATTTACAATTTTGCAGCATATACAAAACATAGTAGAATGAGAACTTTTTTCTTTTTGAAGTCTATTAAAACAGATGTTGACTCAGTTTTCTTATAAGATATACATACTGCATTTAATTTATAATTTCTTTGTACTTATTAATTTTATTATTATGTAAATTCTATTATGACTTAAAAAACATTTTATTTTTATTTTTTTAATATATACGATTATCTATTGTTTGTTTTTACAGCTAAAAATTAAGTTAATTTTAAATTAGCTCATAACTTGTATAATCTCTGACAAAGACTATATATCTTGTAAACAAGATCTACCTTAGTCCTTATTAAATTCTCATCAGTAATGAGATCTTATAACTCATGAGTACCTATTAGGGAAGTTCCTTTCCTACTTAAAGTACATAAGTGTTCTAATTTTTTAATTTAATTCGATTTGTCGTTCTGAATCAGCGGTGACGCTGACTGAATTATGCCGTCAGCTCGCCAAATTTGGGTTAAGCGATGAGTTCAATAGCTCCTTTGTTTTTATACTTCGTGTCTTTATATAGCGTTGCAAGCACGAAATAATCGGATTGTAAACACGTACTTATACGAAATTATGTGAATAAAATAATCATATTATCATCGAGCATAACGTTTTTATATCATGTCGGACTCGAATTTGTGTTAACCGTTTTTATTTCTGTCTTTATTAATCGTATTAAGGTTCTTTTGTTTTTATCATAAAGACATGTCTGTGTTTACACTCGTTTTGTTATATTAAAAATAGAAAATTAAAATGATGATTAATAGGCCGTCATGTGGAAGGTATGCTGGTACTATGTCAACTAGCATGTGATATATTCGCATAAATGCAACGTCAGTTAAGGGTATATCTTGGAATCTATATTTATTGGGCTTTTTACAATTTCCATTAGATGAATCAGAAGAATTTAATTAATCCATAGAGGTTTGAAATTCTTCTCTCACCTCTTTAATATTTGCAGCAACTACTATTTGGGTCTCAGTGTTCGGGGTGTAGGTTAGATCAATAGACCTATAATGCAAAACAACAGTTTTTCAACAGTTCACAATAACATTGAGATCATGTATCTCAATGTTATTGTGAACTGTTGAAAAGAAGTCCAAATAAAATTATTAAATACGAGTACAGTCTACCTTCGCGAATATGACAACGGCGATATTTGGTTTTCAACAGATGAATACGGTTACATTGGTTGCATTGAATGTATTCTTGTAAGAATGTTTATTAGGCTAAACAATTTGCATCTGGCACTTGATGTCTAAATTCAAATATTTTAAATGGATTTCTTTAAATTCAGCAACATCATGAGATGGCTTGTGAAACCATTCTGGCCTTTGCATAAATATCGCTTTCCAATCCTAATCAAGAATTTTTGGATTTGTAGTAAGTTTTCAAATCAACTTCAATTCAAACTCAATTATTTCGAGAATTCAATTTCATGTTTTCTGTGAATTAATAAATGTTGCAGAATAATTATTAAATAGTTCTATAAATATTCTGGTACAATTGGATTAAGAGTTCGGAAGATTAGCATTCAATCTTTTTCTACGAAGATATAATTTCGAATAGGCATTTGTCTAATCTTAAAAGTATATTCCATAATTACAATCTTATTTATCGACATACAATAATAATAAAATTATAATAACTTATTGTTTATGAGACTACGTGGTGAGAGTTGAGGTCTCACACTGCTTGCAAGTGATACATATTGATAGATGAATAAATTGATGAATGCTCTCTAGATATCGATATAATATGAGTAGGTAAAAGTAGATATATAGGTACTAAGAATGTTTACTCTGACGAAATCTGTTTTAGATCGATTGGCCGCATTCTATCACGCCTCGCTCAATTTAACCGTTCCTTATGCTATTCACTACAATTTGTGCAATACGTAAACACCGTTGTAGCACTGTTGGTAAACCTGGATGCTTTGTTTTTATTATACCTAGTTATTGTGAAAACCACAAATTGTAGGATGCTTTATGTAAGAGGCATACTTACATGATCAAACCTAACGATAAGATCATTTATTCAGAGTCATTCAAAATAATTGCTTCTATTCTAATATAAAATTTCTTCTAAAGATGAAATTAGACTAAAAAAACAAAGAACACAGCACGAAAGTAAGAAAGTAGTTAGCATTTTGTACATTGGATTACTTACGAAATACTCTCTAAAATCTGTACAGCAAAATAAAGAATATTTATAAAACACTTTTAACCATAAGCTCGTTGGTTTCGTTTAGTTTAATTACACTTCTGCAACTTTATGTAACGACATTTCTTGAATTTAACAAGCACATTTTAATGATTCATAGAAAGGTGTGAATTAGATGAAATGCAAGTATGAAGTTTAACATCATTTTACGAAACAGTATGAGTAAAATAACCATTTTAGAATCCATTTTAGTTGCTCGAGTTATCTACAGTTAGCTCGCTTCATAGTTCGAGTGTTGCTAAAATATTTGATCACGGCACCGTTATCTGACATCGATGGCTTGGTAGAATGTACCTCCGTGGCCATTCTACTCTAGATGGGCGGCCGTCCAGTCGGCACCTTTGTGCATTGACCCGTACATGGTAACAACAACCAACTTCCTACTTACCTCTATTATTACAGGTACATTCACCATGTTCCGGTTTTAGTTGGTCACATTATATTGTATGAAAATTTGGTTCATGAAAATATTCGGTTAAAATCTATTAAATTTATGTCTAGATTTTACCATATGATCATTGGCGTCTTATAAGACGAAATATGTATACTACCTTTAGGTCAAAAACTTTCATTCATTCAACGTTGTCAAAAAATAATGGCGACGTAGTCTAAACAAAACAAATATTAACTAATGACTTGATTGATTTATAATAGTATTGATTTCAATTTACATACCAAACTATTCCAAATATTCATGCCAGTTCATTGAAATTTGGCGTAGATAGTTTTTATTTTATATTTTTAATGGATGGGAATGATAGGTATAGGTAGTAAACAACCACGTTTCTTTATTGTTTACGAGTACGCTGAAGAGGATCAAGTAAAGATCAATATCTAAGGATGGAATCAGGTCATCGTGACAAATTCACTAGGTATTAATAGTGTTCAAGGTTTTATCTTGGACAGGATGTATTGCTAGAAGTGGAATCGTTAATCATCAATACTAACAATGCCTAATTTAGAAGTTACCTGCATATTGTCACCTTACATATTTATTTAATCCAACATGAATTCCAAAAATAATAACAATAAAAACACGTGGCAGTGAATTCTTAACGTGCCACGTGTTTTTTTTTTATTATTTAAAATAATTGGATATTTACAAATTTAATTTTCGTATAAGAAATAAAGAAAAGTTGCTTAGTTTACTTATAAGTAATCAAATTCAAATAAGAAAGTTTTTCATAGATAGCATTAAATAAATTATGATTATTCTTG